TTTGCACTATTCCTGTAGAGTGCCGTCCTCTTTTTCCTTGATGAGAACATGCTGCGAGACTGCGAGACAAGTTTTACTTACGGGTTTGATCTTTGCTCAAGGCATGGCAGAATATGGGCTCTATCCCAAAACTGGGATACAAGTTATATTAATTCAAAGAGAAAGCCCCACCAATGCTAAGCATTGCTATTTTCCAGTCACAAATTGGAAATAATAGAATGAGTTGTCCTGTGGCACCTTAGAGACCAACAAAAATATATGTAGTATCATGAGCTTCTGTGGGCAAAACCCACTTCTTCAGAGGAGTTGGAAGAAGGAGTGGAAAAGGCACGAACCCAGAATTTATAACACAAAAATAAGGGAAGAAAAAAAAAAGTACCTGTCAATTGTAGTACTGATGCTAATGCGGTTAATTGAGTGGGCTGGAAGTTTCCTATACTGTACTTAACTTTTGGTGTAATGAGGTGTTAAATGCATGGAAAGCTGCCTTTATGTTGCATTATAAAGCCAGTCTTCCATGCATTTAACACCTCGCTTAAATGGTTCCTTCCCCCTTCCCCCAACACTGGCTCAAGAGCCGCCTGCTCCGCCCCCCAACACACCCGTCACTGCTGTCTCAGATACAGCACCCATTCCCAGCACTAGTTCCCACGGGGTATCTCTGTGCCCAGTGCCCATTCCCAGCCCTAGTTCCCTGTGTAAATGTGTATTTCCAGTGGATACACGTCTACACAAATAAACACATTTTAACATCCCTATCCCAGAGCCCACTCACGATCCTAATTCTCATGGCCTGATTTGGTACCCAGCGCCCAATCCAGCCCTAGTTCCCCCGGGGTATCTCTGTGCCCAGCGCCCATTGCCAGCCCTAGTTCCCACGGGGTATGTCTGTGCCCAGCGCCCATTCCCAGCCCTAGTTCCCACAGGGTCTCTCTGTGCCCAGCGCCCATTGCCAGCCCTAGTTCCCACGGGGTATGTCTGTGCCCAGCGCCCATTCCCAGCCCTAGTTCCCACAGGGTCTCTCTGTGCCCAGCGCCCATTGCCAGCCCTAGTTCCCACGGGGTATGTCTGTGCCCAGCGCCCATTCCCAGCCCTAGTTCCCACAGGGTCTCTCTGTGCCCAGCGCCCATTGCCAGCCCTAGTTCCCACGGGGTATGTCTGTGCCCAGCGCCCATTCCCAGCCCTAGTTCCCACAGGGTCTCTCTGTGCCCAGCGCCCATTGCCAGCCCTAGTTCCCACGGGGTATGTCTGTGCCCAGCGCCCATTCCCAGCCCTAGTTCCCACAGGGTCTCTCTGTGCCCAGCGCCCATTGCCAGCCCTAGTTCCCACGGGGTATGTCTGTGCCCAGCGCCCATTCCCAGCCCTAGTTCCCACAGGGTCTCTCTGTGCCCAGCGCCCATTGCCAGCCCTAGTTCCCACGGGGTATGTCTGTGCCCAGCGCCCATTCCCAGCCCTAGTTCCCACAGGGTCTCTCTGTGCCCAGCGCCCATTGCCAGCCCTAGTTCCCACGGGGTATGTCTGTGCCCAGCGCCCATTCCCAGCCCTAGTTCCCACAGGGTCTCTCTGTGCCCAGCGCCCATTGCCAGCCCTAGTTCCCACGGGGTATGTCTGTGCCCAGCGCCCATTCCCAGCCCTAGTTCCCACAGGGTCTCTCTGTGCCCAGCGCCCATTGCCAGCCCTAGTTCCCACGGGGTATGTCTGTGCCCAGCGCCCATTCCCAGCCCTAGTTCCCACAGGGTCTCTCTGTGCCCAGCGCCCATTGCCAGCCCTAGTTCCCACGGGGTATGTCTGTGCCCAGCGCCCATTCCCAGCCCTAGTTCCCACAGGGTCTCTCTGTGCCCAGCGCCCATTGCCAGCCCTAGTTCCCACGGGGTATGTCTGTGCCCAGCGCCCATTCCCAGCCCTAGTTCCCACAGGGTCTCTCTGTGCCCAGCGCCCATTGCCAGCCCTAGTTCCCACGGGGTATGTCTGTGCCCAGCGCCCATTCCCAGCCCTAGTTCCCACAGGGTCTCTCTGTGCCCAGCGCCCATTGCCAGCCCTAGTTCCCACGGGGTATGTCTGTGCCCAGCGCCCATTCCCAGCCCTAGTTCCCACAGGGTCTCTCTGTGCCCAGCGCCCATTGCCAGCCCTAGTTCCCACGGGGTATGTCTGTGCCCAGCGCCCATTCCCAGCCCTAGTTCCCACAGGGTCTCTCTGTGCCCAGCGCCCATTGCCAGCCCTAGTTCCCACGGGGTATGTCTGTGCCCAGCGCCCATTCCCAGCCCTAGTGCCCACAGGGTATCTCTGTGCCCAGCTCCCAATCCCAGCCCTAGTTCCCATGGGGTATCTCTGTGCCCAGCGCCCATTTCCGACCTGCCTCTCATATCCCATGCCCGCTGCTGAGCCCTCAAAACCCATCATTAGCCCGGCCCCTGGCTGGTCCCCAGGGCCATGCCTGGAACTTGGGGCCTGGGTGCAGCCTGGCCCCTGGCGTGGAGCCCTCGTGTCCCCGCAGCTCCGCCTGCCATGTGCCCGTCCCATGGACTGGCAGCAGTGCCTAGGGGTGTCGGGCACTCCTTAAAGGAGCCAAGGAAACTGGGCAAGGCAGACCCTTGAGGCAAGGCCAGGGTGGGGTTGGCCCCTTTAAGAGGGCGGGGCATCGCAAGGCCTTGTAAGGGGAGGGGCTGGTTGCGGAGCTTTGTCAAAGCTGGAGGAAGGCGCCGTGGTCCCTTTAAGAGGGAGGCGCGAAACGTGTCGGCGGCTCCTTTAAGACGCGGCGCGAGCGCGGCGTCCCCTTTAAGGTTGCCCCGGCGACGGCTCGCAGTGAGAGCGAGGCGCATTGACGTCAGGTTGGCAGGCGATTGGCTGAGGTCGCTGGTTT